TGTGTATATATATATATATATATATATATATATATATATATATATATATATATATATAATATATATTTATTTATATATTATATGCGTGGTACTTATTAGAAAGCGCTCAATATCAGAGATAGAGCTAACATATTTGGTTGGATTGATGTGAGTTTGTGACCCTGAATTTCAGGCTTTTGCGATCGTTAGACAAAATGATTAATTTTTTTTTTAAATTTTGGATTTATGTAGTTTGCGTGTATTGGTGTTATTATGGAAGTGGCGGAGAGGAATCGTCGTCGTGATGTCATCGTGCTAACGCAAACATAGATGCATATCCGTACACCCGTTGAGGTACACAGGTAACCACGGTAATAACAGACAGAATCAATCATAAGGCTTGTATGAAAGGGTATGAGGTGAAGGGATTTTTATAACATACCTCTACCCTCACCTCTTCTGCCAATCCAAATGGAAGGCTACTAAAGCGGAGGAGAACGAGGCGTTCGCACTTTAGGACTCCCCAGGTTACATCGCTACTCTACTCACGTAAGTCTGTTCTTCATTATTTCCGACTCATTGAAATAATAAAATAAGTTCATATTTGTGTGTGTATTTAAAAAAAAAATCTATGGTTTTATTTCATACAAATTTTATGCCGTGATATTTTCATTTGCTCCTAGATATGCCGTTGCTTAAAAAGTTTGAGAAACTCTGCTTTGCAGCAAAGAAAAGCAATTACTACATTATAACTAAATGGAAATGTATGGAGAATTCGAATTTGTTTTTTCAACCTACACAACTTTTCCTTCCCTTCTTTTATTCTCCCCTAATATAGCTACTCATCATAAGGGACCACGGTGGTTTCTTTCAAAGAACTGCGTGTGCATGAATTCATTTTTCCTAACGAGAGTTGCACAAGTCCAGACCCACCCTCCTGACATTCCCTCCAGGATTTACCTGCAACGTTTTGTTCCAGAACGGCGCGTGGAAAGAAAATCAGTTGCTGTGAATAACCTGATCAATGGTCGATGGAAAGAATTCTTTCTTGCCCTACATAGCCGGCATACGCTCTACCGTGCGGCTAGCGTACCGGCTATCGGCGCATATAGAATAATCATTGAACAGAATTAGAACTAGGCTCGAGTCAGTTGCGCTGTCTTAAAGGTAATCCTCTCCGGAATGTCACTTAAGTTGTCAAATACATCTCTTCTCCAGCTATGGGTTAAATAGTAAGACACACTGGCTTTTCTCAACTTGGCAAGCAATCGTGAAGGAAAATTTTTAACGGTTTTCTTCTCACTATAGAGGACTCTTCTCTAATCTAAATATCAGAGCAATTTTCAACATGATCTGACGTGTTTCTGTGCATCTATTCCTGAAGAAAAGCTCTGAATTCAAACCGGTGATCTCACTATATTGTTAAGATAGAGAACTACTTTCGAATTTCGTTAAAGGAAGAAATGAGTTTCGGCTTGAACGTATATGTTTACATGTGTAGGGTAGACTCGGCTCCCTATTCCTGGGTGTCCAACAAATCTAGAAAAAGGAAAATCTCTGACTTAAAAGCATTGGTTTCTCACAATTACATTCATGCTAATGATTGCTTTTTCTTTTTTTTTTATCACTTCACCCCCACGGAAGGCGATAATGTCATTAAGACACAGGGGTGTTTACAAGGAGTTAAAGAGAATGAGAAGACTTTAGTGAAGTGAAGTGTGGAAAGGACAATAAGGCAACTGGATTCAGGAAGACAGAAGTTGGCAATTGAGGTCGGATTTACTTTTTTAAGATTGTAGGAGGCATGGCAGCATAGGTGAGAAGTGCGAGGAAAGAAACTGTTAGAATAGAAGAGACGGTTGCATCAAGCTGGTTCAGCAGTGAAACCTTGTTGCCAATCTAGCAGCACGCTTAAATTCATGTGTTACGGTTTTTTGGGTATATACTACGTATAACTAGTGAGTGAGTCAGAATGACTTATTTCCCTTTATAGTCGACCAATGGAAGGTTGACCAATCAGAAGCCGCCCAACACTGTATTCGTCGTGTATAAAGGCGTCCATCTTGTTTCCTCCTACCGGAAGGACCAAAGGCGACCAGGAGAAGGATGAACTACACTCTGCTGTGATATCCACTGCGAACCTCCACTACGCTTTCCTACTGTCTCCGAAATATTCACTGCCAACCTCTAGATTCTATACTCGAGGACGACCGTCATGAAAATGTCTAACATCATGTAGTCGAGACACTAAGGAATAAAGCTCCTCAGAACAGTTACTATGAGAATAGTGGTAGACAATACAGAGAGAAGCCACCTCACGTCAGTGAAAAAGCGACTGAAGTCGCGATGCCAGGTTAGGATTGATTACATTAGAGATCCTTCTTTGGGTTATGGCAAAAAAACTAAAAAAAAACAAGATCGTGATGTACAGCAGGGGTACCAGACCAGATATGGCAGTAGAATTCAATGCACGGACGAAAAGCAGATTTATAAATGAGCAAGACGGATCCTGACGAGAAAATATTGTCTGATACGACACAGTGAATAAATTTTCCTGGGAGCAGACCTAGCAATTGATTCAATATAATCACTCCACAAAATATCAGAGGAAAACGTGAATCCAAGAAGACACAAAGTGTTACTCTTAGGGAGATTAGCATCGGCATTGCTGATGTCAGTCAGAAAAAGGTTCTCTGTGGTGATTAAATGAAAGAAGTTTTGTTTTGGAGCAGTTAAAATTTACAAGCCATTTCTTGCCCCAGCTAATCACTGACTGGAGGTCCTTTTCGAGAGCAATTAAAGGAACTGGATTCAGGAAGACAGAAGATGGCGATTGTCGTTGCATTTAAATTTTTGCAGATTGCAGGTGGCAGTAAAGCAAGAAATCTGAAGGGAGCTTCACAGGTAAGAAGTGCAAGAAAAGAAACTATTAGAATAGAACTGTCGGTTGCATGTGGCTAGTTCAACAATAAAACGGTGTTACCTAATTGCCAATCTAGTAGCACTCTGAAATTCATACAGTCGAGGCACTAAGGTTCCCCCCAGAACAATTGCCATGAAAATATTTGTAGAATAGACAGTAAGAAGCTCCATCACGACCGTGAGAAAGCGATTGAAGTCGAGATTCCAGGTTAGGATTGATTACATTACAGACACTTCTTTGAGTTTTGTCAAGAATCTTGAGAAATATAGTAGGAACTGCACATCAGACATGGAAAAAGTATTCAATACACGGACGAAAAGTAGATTTATAAATGTGCAAGATGGATGACAAGAAAACATTGTCTGATACAACACAGTGAATAAATTTTCCTGGGAGCAGGCCTAGCAATTGATTCAATATAATCACTCTATATCCTGTCAGTGTAAAACGTGAGTCCAGGAAGGCACAAAGTGTTACTCTCCCGGAGTCTAGCATTAACCATGCTGATAAAAGACAGGAAAGGTTATTTTTAGTGAATAAATTGAATCAGATTTCAATGATTTAATATCATTTTCCAGAGCTGTTACTAGTATACCTTGTGTCATAGAGAAAGAACAGTAGACTAGATATGGAGACAGTATTCACTGCACGGACGAATGGCAGATTTATAAATGTGCAAGATGGATTCTGACGAGAAAACATTGTCTGATACGACACAGTGAATTAACTTTTTAAGAGCAGGCCTAGCAATTGATTCAATATAATCACTTCACAGCATGCCAGTGGAAAACGTGAATCCAAGAAGGCGAAAAGGGTTACTCTTCTGGAGTTTAGCATTAGTCATGTTGATGTCAGTCAGAAAAGTTTTTTGTGGTGATTAAATGAATGCAGTTTCTTCTTGGAGTAATTGACTTTCAACTTGATTTTACGAGCGCGTCTTTGTTTGTATGTGTTCATGATGAAGAAATGCAATATGTATGATCAAAATGACAGTGAGAACAATATTTTATCTAAATATTTAGAGATTCTTAATAAAATCCAAAGAGGAGTTTGCAACTCTGTCGGTCCTGATATGGCACCTCGGAATCTGCCCCTTTCTCACTACCATAACCTAACTCTCCTGTATCGTTCTATAAATATTTTAAAGGTGATTTTTCTGATGAGCTTTACTTATTGGTACTACGACTTTACGAATTTAAGTGAAGTATTATATTGACAGAAACGTCACATCATTGTACAGTGATTTCTTCTTTACGGCGTATCACCATTTTGCAGGTTATTTAACACCAGCAACTATATTTAGATTGTAAGATTTTTTCAATACAAGAAAGATTTACTGATATGGTTCATACCAATTAACCCATACCTGGGAAGCGAAGAGAATTACTGATACAGTTCTTACTAATTAACTAATATTTGGGAAGAAAAGAGGTTTATTAATACAATTCCTAGTAATTAACACATATTTAGGAAGAGAAGAGATTTACTGAGATAGTTCCTACTAATTAACCCATATCTAGGAGGAGAAGAGATTTAGTGATACAGTTCCTACTAATTAATCCATATATGGGAGGAGAAGAGATTTACTAATAAAATTTCTACTAATTAACCAATATCTGAGAGGGGAAGAGATTTATTGATACAGTTCCTACTAATTAATCCATATCTGAGAGAAGAAAAGATTTACTGATACAGTTCCTACTAATTAATCCATATCTGAGAGGGAAAGTGACTTACAGATAGAGTTCCTACTAATTAATCCATATCTGAGAGTAGAAAAGATTTACTGATGCATTTCCCACTTATTATCACATAGCCTGGTGGAGAAGAGATTTTTTGATACTGTTCCTACTAATTAACTCCTATCTGAGAGGAGAAGAGTTTTACTGATACAATTCACACTGATTAACCGATATCCAGGAGGAGAAGCGATTTACTGATACAATTCCTACTAATTAACCCATATCACGGGGGATCCATACCATTCCCAAGGCTCTTTGCTCGGAAGTGAATTTAATATACCCGACTGAAATTTGACCTCGGCTCTTCGATTTCTAATTCTGATTCATTAGCTATTACACCGACTCCGGATCTATGATTACAGCCACTGGTTTTTCCATGCAGTCACCCATTTAGGTACTAACCAGGCTTGACGTTGCTTAATTTCGGTAATCGTACGGTAACCTGTGTTTCAAGGTGATGTGATCGTAAGCCGCATTTTTCTATGAATGCGAATGTACGTCACAGTTGTGTGAATGTTTGAAATGACAACTCGCTTGCAAAATGAAGATAGGAGCGACGCCTTCTTACAGTTGTTAGTTATGGAGATAATTACTGCTGAACGAGTTCAATTATACAATTCTCATGTCTCACACCTGTTGTTTTTGTTTAGCTTTTTGACAGATTCAATTACAAATAGTAAATATCAATTTTAGCTGAGAAAAAATTGAAGAAAAAAAAAAAAACAGCTACGTAAATATGATAAGAATAATCACAAAGACAGATGTATGTGTTCTGAGGTTATTTAAAGAATTAGATAGCTGACGACAAGTTACAATGTATCATATACTGACGATAATTATGAATAAAATTATTATCCTTCCAAAACTTGTTTTGGAATAATTAATTCTTTATATTGCTGGCCAATTTTATGGTGGTTTTCAGCTGTGAAAAGATAACGTTAGTAAGTTTGCAGAAAAGCCATTATCATGCCAAACACTGTTCAAATTAATCAATTCATTCTTCGTATAATTTTTCTTTAGAGTTCGGTTTTTAAATAAGTATAAGTCCCGAGAGCCACTCTCGGTAGAATGTTAAAGAGGAAACGTCACAGTTTATGCACATATTTGGGGAAGAAAATGGCTAACCCTACACTTGAACAGGTTAAGATTGCGGTGATCAGGTAAATATTCATTTGGGAGTGGCTTCTTATTTCTTCCGTTTAATATTCATTTAGTATTAATCTACTTTGAGAAAAAAAAAGGCTTCTCTAGTATCATCTCTAATTTGTTTTGATTTTACAGTAAGATTCAACCTGTACAAGGCCCGGGAGCCACTCGAGATAGAAGGTTACAGAGTAAGAAGCATAGTTTATGCTGATATAAGGCGAAGATAACGTTTAAGGTTAAGCGTTTAATCGTAATGCAGAGTAGTTATCTTGAAAATATCATCTATGGAGTCGGTTCCACAAAGCAGTGGTTCACGAGAAGCTGCTGCTTGAATGGAACTTACATCTCACCAAAGGATACACAGGGAATGAGGGTGGTTCGCTAAGATGTGTGTAGCGTGGTAGGTCTTAGCCGTGAAGGTTAGAATTAGTGGAACTAAGGAATGTCTTTCGTCTGACCACGGTAGTAGCTATAGAGCAGCAAGAGGCTTGCAACGTTTCGCCTGTGAGAGAGTTGTTGTAGGATGGAAGATAATTCGTCACCCACAAGGACGCGGAGAGGCTTTTGAACTGGAGTGTGAGGACTGGATAACTCCTGCCTAAATTCCTTAAGTAATTCGGTCGATTCATTCTACAAGCTTCTTCTCACGTGTACGAATATAGATTCTGTTATTTCGAGAAGAGAATTTATTATTACAAGTGTTGTTCAGCCGACTCGTATAACATTCTTTCTGTTCGTTGTATTTTTATTCCATTATTTCGACTGATTCACTCTCCGGCCTTTTTCAAGTAGGCAAATATCACTTCTGATATTGTTTTGAGAAGAGACACAATCACGCCAACTGACGTTCGGACAAAATAACTCTGTGTTCGTTCTGGTGTTTTCACTACAGCATTTAGGCTGATCCATTCTACAGCCTGCTTCACGTGTACACAGAGCTTCTTTCATTTTTAAGAAGGATGTACTGATTGTAGTCAACAATGCAGAAACTGGAACCACCGAGATGGCTAAGTTAATATTCTGCCAGATTCAATTCGTACTAAAGGCCGTATTTACTCGACCTCCCCACGATGCGGGATATGTCACAAGGCGAGAAAAAAAATCCCAGTAGACCTCGCATACATGGGGTCGGGTTGTTCAGCATCCTCTGACGAGACTCTACCGATCGTCATAGCCTGATTTGGCTTCTTCTCCTCCCGAAGGAAGAGAGTTCGACGTCTTGATGCTTGCTGGAAAGCAGGCCCCAATTCGTGTTAACGCCCTTTGGAAAGACACTTTTTCCATTCTTATTTAGCGCCATTTTTAATTACTGACCTGAGGCAACGGTTGTCTGTAAATGATAGTTTAGGTATTTCTGAATGAGTTTACTTCCATATGAGTGGGGTGTTCCATACTTTCGGCCTTGTGCAACATTTAAACTACGCTTAGAAAACCATCATATGAGAGTCTCGATCTGACGAAGTGATTACACCAACCGTACATCCAAGATTACAACACATTGTATTCGCAAGCTATCACAAATCTAGATAATGAACAGGCTCAACGTTACTAAAATTCGGTGAAGGTACATGAACCGGTGTTTCAATGTGATATGGCCGTAAACAGGCTTATCCTAATAATACACATGCATGCATACATATAACCTGAAGATTATGTTCAACCATAATACAGATTATCGCCAGGTTGACTTCAGTGTCAAGATAATTTTTTCTAATGTTTCTATATTGTTTTTGGTGGGAGCCAAGAGAATACAGAAAACTGGTCGTAATGATTATTGCCCCAAATTGCTTCGGCCAAGTTATTAGATATTTTCAAGGGTTCGTTGTTAATATACTAACATTGTGTATAATTTCTATGACTTTCACACAATATGCTTAAGGTATATTGCGTGAAATTAGTAGAAATTATAAGCTGTGTTAAAGAAATGGAGTTTTTGATTCCATATTTGCGTATATTTGAAAGGAAACACACAAACGTTCCTGCCATTGTCAAATCAGCTAAATCTGATGCTTCGCTTGAATTGCTTTATATAAACTCTATAACAGAGGTCGGCAACCTATGGCACGCGTGCCACATGTGGCACTGCAAGCCATTTCCAATGGCACACAGCTGCAAATGACATCACGAAGTCCGAACCAATAACTACTACAACACAAAGAAGATATTTAGCTGTTTAAAAACAGCTCACTCCTTGGACTCCCATTAATAATAAAAACAGTTTATTTTTATTAATGTAGTTTACATATTATTGTATTTTAAGACATTCTTATGTTTATACATTTTTTTATAGATACAAATAATTAAGTAAATGCTCTGTTTAAAATAAACAGTATTAATAACATTTACCGGCCTGAATGTCCGAGAAATTTTCATAGAAAATATTCGTCCTCCGACAGGAATCGAACCTGTATCCTAGACGGAACCGTCCATGTAGCTTGACGTGCCTTAACCGATTGAGCCACAGAGGATCGTACGATTAGCAAAGTCGATTTTACTGTTTTTAAACTACAATCTTCCATGAATCTCTCACGTACATTCATATCTGCTCAAAGCGTATCCAAATGGAAACAAATGACGTCACACATTATGAAATGGACAAAGTCCGACAATTATTTTAAGGCATTTTTATGTTTGTTTATACATTTTTAAGGATACAAATATTTAAGTAAATGCTCTATTTATAATATATATAATTATATATTATAAATATTATTCTATATATTACTACATAAAATATATTGTAGAACAGGTATATTGATCTTGACTTGTATAAAAATACGTATGCTGTTGGCAAAATGAATTATTTTAAAACCCTAAGTGAGCATATAATCAGTAAATGATTGCGGACCACTATTCTATAAGACGTCTCGATAATTAAATTTCTTCAGATTGATGGTGTTATCAATGAGATTATTCCTAATTACGGCAAGCAGTTTTTGTGGATGTCTAGGCGATATTTTATGGCGTTGAGATAACTGGTTTGTCATGTTTCTACTGATAGAATCGTTTATAAAGATCTTTGTTCCTTACTTGTCGATATGTGTTCGCATCGAAACAAAAATGCACCCTTGTCGTGAGTACTTGTCCGTATGTAACGTCTCTATAATAAATAGGTATTGCCCTATCCTTGGTACTTTTTGATTATATATATATATATATATATATATATATATATATATAAGTGCGTAGGTATGCAGAAAAAAGAAAAGAACACGTTGGGTGCATGATCCGGGGTTCCTTAGTATTTTTTTTTTTAAGAAGACAGTGCTCCATACAGAAGTAGAGCTTATATTATAATAATAATTTTTGTTGAAAAATATGATTCCTTCGCTACATAAGAGTTCTCATGTTTCAAAAACGAGAGCCGAAATATCCAAATAATTAGAAAAATTAATTTGGATTGTGGTGTTTAGTCCCGTTTCATCTTAAAGATAATCATTAAAGATAATCAGACGGACAATAATAAAAGACAATTCCCCAGACACATAACGATTGTAGGCGCGCCATAAAAATATCCCTCTCTGGGAACTAACTAAAGGGTGACCGCAAACATTAGCCTTGAAATAGATACCCTACTCAACCTTACTAAAGCCTCTTAGAAGATGATGAATCTATTGATAAGAATTAACTCTCTGACCACTTAACGAAAGAAAATAGTCTAGCCACTCCCACAATAACGAATCCTGTAACAGACCATGCCTAAAAACACACGTAAATCGAGAGATAGCTTATTCCTAAAATTTCGCTTGAGGATGAAACGGGATTAAACACCACAATCCAACTTAATTTTAATAATTATTTGGATGATTTCGGCTCTCGTTTTTGAAACATGAGAACTCTTATTTTTTAAACAAAAAATATTATTATTATTATTATTATTATTATATATATATATATATATATATATATATATATATATATATATATATATATATATATATATATATATAAAGTTATTAATGGATTTTATTTAGTGGATACACGGGTTTCAGTAGATACCCGCGTGATTTTAAACAGTGTGAATCTATGGTCGCTGGCGTGTACATTCGAGTTTCTTAATAAAAAGACAAAATGCGTATTTTTTTATATAGGTTAATATAACCTTAGCCGACTATGCATATTTTTTGTGATTGAGCGGTTTCAAAAGCATGCCGGCCCCAAACAGGGTTTCCCCCTCAAAAGATGCAAGTTCCAACTCTGCCAGAAGGCACCTATTTATTTATTTATTTATTTATTTTGTGTTAAGTCTTTCGAATTAACAGGCCGGTGTACACAGATTAAGACTATTGGAAATGCATCCCTCTTTCTCTCTCCCCCTCCCAC